TGGTCCGGTTTTGCCGTCAACCCCGATGAAGACTCAAGCCCAACCCGACGAGTTACGCACTATTCATACGGTGTCAAAAGTGCCTTTGAAAGCCGAAGGCGACGTGTCACCTCTTAAGCTGTCCCGCAAGAGAGGTCTGTCCCTCTCGAGCACATCCCCCACTCGGTCTTCTCCGCGTGTTCGCAAGCCAACCTTGATAGCGCTTAATGACAGTACACCGGTTCTGTCTCCCTCCCGGAAATCTCCTCGGGTGATCAGAAGTCCGGCACCAAAACGCCCCTCTATCATTGGTAGACGCAGCAGTGTAAAGGTACCAGTGATGGCTGCGCCCAGTACTCCTACCGCAACCGCCAGTCCTTCCAAGAAGCCGCGTCGTAGCATCAGCACTGAACAGAAGGCCCTGCATGGGGCAGTCGTGCATGTGGATGTTCATACCACCGAGGGCGAGGATGCCTCCGGTATCTTTGTGGAACTTTTGCACCAAATGGGCGCTCGATGTGTGAAATCTTGGTCCTGGAACCCTCATTCCAGTCTCTCGCTAGCTGATGGTGTAGAGCCCAAGGATTTGAGAGTGGGCATTACCCATGTTGTGTACAAGGATGGTGGTTTGCGGACCCTGGAGAAAGTCAAGAAGGCAGCGGGTCTTGTCAAGTGTGTTGGAGTCGGCTGGGTTCTCGATTGTGAACGGGAAAACCAATGGCTCGATGAGACCCCGTATGCGGTTGACAGCTCTATCATCCCTCGTGGAGGCGCCAAGCGCCGCAAGAGTATGGAGCCTCGTGCACTAAGCAATGTGAACGGAACACTCGTGCGCATTTCCGAATCTCCCGCCCCATCTCCCGGTGGACGTCGCAGTGGTGTCAACCCAGGTGCTGTTGAGGGTTTCCGCAAGATCACACCCCCCACCCATCAGCAGAAGATGCCCTCCACACCCCCGCAACAATCTTCTGCCGATAGCTACCAATTCCCTGCTACTCCAGGATACAACTTTGCCAACCTTGATGCCATCGGAATGTCGCCCGCTACACCAGGATTCCTTGGAAATCGCTCCAAGCTTGTCCAACAGTCTTGCCCTCCAAAGCAGAGCAACCGCGGTTTGTTCCCGAGTGCTAAGCCTTCCAGTACCATGCTGGATGATGGCCAAGACGAGGAATCTAGGAGACAGCGCCGCTTCCGCATGGAGGCTGCCAGACGCAAGAGTCTTGTTTACAAGCCTGCTGTCGGTAGCCCTCTTGTTCCATGATTTTATTCATTGAATTGTCTGTTTTTTGTGAATGCATACCCAGTCACTGTACATATGGGGACACACTTTTTTTTTTTGGCGTTTTTCTATTTTTGCCCCACGACGGCGAGGTGGACAGGTTGGATTGTTTTGTGTGAGGTTAATAGACCTTACTTTTTGTTCGAATCTCAGTTAAAGCAGTACAATCCTAGATGATCTAAATCCCACTTCTCCGTGGTAAACTTGCACTACATGACTTTTGATTCAGAAACTCGATGATAATACCCGGAATATTTTCGCTGCCCCGCTTCAACATTCACATACGTCGTATGCAGTTTACCAAAACGACGATATTACTCCTGAGACTCTTCGCGATAGAATCCAGCAACCAAGAAAGCGAGCTCCAAAGCCTGCTTCTCATTCAAGCGTGGATCACAGAATGTCGTATAACGCTCTCCAAGGCCATCTGCCGTCAGGCCAGCAGCACCACCAACACACTCAGTGACAGCCTCTCCAGTAAGTTCAAGATGCATACCACCAAGGAATGAGCCAGCAGCGCGGTGAATTTCCAACGCCTGCTTTAATTCAGACAAGATATCTGTGAAGTGACGGGTCTTCACACCAGATGATGTGCTCTGTGTATTGCCATGCATAGGATCGCACTGCCAGACGGGGATATGACCAGAAGCCTGCACAGCGGCAATATGGCCAGGGAGGAAATCTGCGATTTTGGAAGCGCCGTACCGGGAAATCAGAGTCACCTTACCGATCTCCCGATCCGGGTTAACCACATCCAGCAGCTGTACCAGCTCCTCCGCCGCCATGCTAGGTCCGATCTTGATTCCGATAGGGTTAGCGATGCCGCGGAAGAACTCGACATGCGCACCGCCGAGTTGACGTGTCCGGTCGCCGATCCAGATGAAGTGGCCGGATGTTGCGTAGTAGCCTGTTTCGTGGGACGTGGTGCTTGCTGGGTAGGCTGGGTGGCGAAGGAGTCGGGTTAGGCTCTGCTCGTATTCCAGGGAGAGGCCTTCGTGACTGGTGAAGATGTCGGCTGTCTCGAAACCGCGGTCTTTATCGATCCCTACTGTGTGCATAAAGCGCAGGGCATCCTTTACCGCGCCTACGGTCTTGGCGTATTGCTCTTTGATCGAGGGCGTGATTACATGACCCAAGCCCCAGTCTAGTGGGGAGTGCAGGTCTGCCAGGCCTGAGGAGAGGGAGGCACGGAGATAATTCAGAGTTGCGGCGGAGTGGAAGTAGGCGGAGACTAGACGTGATGGGTCTGGTTGGCGGGATTTGATGTCTGCTGGGAAGCCATTGATGTTGTCGCCGCGGAAAGAGGGCATTTCCACCCCATTGATGACCTCTGTTGGACTTGAGCGTGGCCTAATTTTGTTGTTAATTTTGTGTTTATGGATTAATGAGCGAGGAACCTACTTTGCGAACTGGCCTGCAATGCGAGCAATACGGATGACGGGCTTGTTAGCGCCTATTAGTCGGGTTAGTTGCCATTTCCTTTGCTTTTTGTGCGGTTCGGACATACCCCAGATGAGAACCAAACTCATTTGCAACAAGAGCTTCACCTTGGCTTCGATCATTTCTTGGCTGCAGTAGTCGAAAAGCTCCGCACAGTCACCTGAACAGAATGGTTAGTTATGTTTCGCGGATATTTTCCTGTGCAACATACCACCCTGTAGAACGAATGCCTTGCCCAAAGCGACATTTCGTAGGTTTTTCTTGAGATTGTTGATCTGTAGAACAGGTCAATATAATAGTTACGACCCAGCCAAAAGACAAGACATACTTCTTGTGTGGTCACAAGTGGAGGAAGCTTCTGTAATTTCTGTAGTGAGTCTGTCAACCCTTGCAGATCCTCGTAGATGACATCTTGTTTGATGGGCTTTTGTGTCCAAGCTAGATATAGTTAGTGATGCTAGATCAAAGAGGTTTTACAAATTTTTGCTCTTACAACTAGGGCTCCATTCGGCCATGGTGCGGGCAATGATCCCGAAAGGTGGGGATGTTTTGAGTTCAGGGTCTTCCGTTTGACTAGCAGTAACCAACAACTGCAATGAACAATGGGTTGGAATAAGCAGTGGAATAGTGAGAACTGGCAACAAAGGACTGGGTGAACAGATATTAAGGGCAACAAAAGAAAAACATTGTGACGTGATACGCTTATCCCCGGGACCTAGATGACTCATTATAATGCCTTATCCCTCAGGCACCAAATTCATCCCACATTCCTCATTGTGTGACCTCCCTCGATGTGACTACAGGTCAGGAGGTGAGAGTTCCATACAGCGGATTTCAAGATCAAGCAGCGTTATTTGACCGGAAACAAGGGCAATCCCATTGAGCATGCACCACTGCATCCAATTGGCCTCTCAGCAACCTCCTGAGCTGATCTCCATTCCTCAGGCCACAAACAAAACAAAACTGATAACCGTCATTAGTGACCCTTGTCATGTATCTTGGACGGAGAAGCTGTCATGTCCCATATGATGGGTCTTGTTCTTATTGTGGGCTCTGAGCGATTTTGAAACGCCGTGGGAAACCGACTTTTTGATTATGTGGATGAGTGTCTATCGTCAAACTTGGCCTGTATGATGCACCGAGTGATGAAGTTTGCCTTATTCAAACAGCAGCGAAGTCCAACTTCTCACGTAAGCATGTGGATAGGACTAGCAAGGATGAACAGTGCCTCGTAGGTGGTATCATCCAAATGCCTTAAGTTACAATGTCTCTACTCCGTAATAGTTTCAGAGATCTCTTCATCTGGTGAGCCCCGAAGCTTACAAATGGTCCGCTGTATGTTGTACTAGACACAGTCTGTAGGGTGGTGTGATATATCACATCTGCAGCATGTAAGATTATCAATTTAAAAAAGAGGCGAAATTGTTATAGAGCTGTTTCCCATGGCTGCTACGACCGAGACTAGTCTAACATAAATTGAGCACAAAAGAGAATATAATTTTCCTAAAATCCCGATTTTGGATGAGATGAGAATTAAAATAGAGAAACATGGCTAAGATATGCTCAGTTCAGAGTTATTCCAATATTACTATTGAGACGAATACATAATACGATGATTACTATGTTTTCCCAGCCTAAGCGGTGTCAATGGACAGTTGACTGCCCTACCTAGGTGTCGAGGTACGAAGTACTCCGCGGAGGGAGATTAGTTCCAGCTGAAAACCTAAAACCACCCGGTGATACATTTTTGGCCATGAGATCGACAGAAAACCTTGGAAATTGATAAATGTAATGTTGGGGCCGTTTTACGAAGTATCTAATGCACTGATAATGGAGGTAGCGGGACTTTTCATATATACATTCCCACCGGAGGACGGAGTACAACATCGATCTGAATATGCAGATTTCTCGCTACCCCAGGCTTGGCATAGAGAAAAAATCTCTTCGGCTAAATTTGGAAAAAGGACGGAAACAATAAAAGGGGGAATGGAGGAAACGCTAGGCGAAATTAATTTAAGCCCTGTCTAATCTTGTCTAATAGGCTTCCGATCGAGGGCCTCAGGGGAATTTGGTCTGACCGGTCCGAGGCACAAGGACCAACTGTGATTGGCCAGGTCGCGAGACCGTATCATTTTGGCTTTTGCCTGTTTAGCGCTAGTGTCTAAAGGAAGTAGAACGTGGGCCCTTCAAGGCAGAAGAGCCCCAGTTCTCGTATTTCTTCGCCTATCCCAGGTATTTAAACCTTCTGCTTTATTTCTCTTCCTTCTACATATCTCTATACTCCCACACTCCTTTAATCATGCAGTACAAGGTCCTTGCCACTCTTTTCTTCGCCGCCACGGCCCTGGCTGCCCCTGCGGATTCTACTGCCACCGATAGCGATGACACTTTCGATATCGCGGATGTGCCCAGCTCCGTTATGAGTGTTCTGGCAACAGCCATCCCGGAGTCATGGTACAATGATCTCCTGGACCCGGCCTCCCTCTCCGCGATAGAGAGCGCCGCTTCGGCTGGCACCTACCCAGCTTGGTACAACTCGTTGCCTAGTGACGTTAAGTCCTGGGCCACTGGACAATTCGGCGCTGGCCTTGGTGGTGCCTCCGCAACCGCTGATAGCAGTGCCACTCAGACTGGCTCCAGCCTCGTCTCCAGCACTGCCAGCCAGACCTCCTCCAACGCCGCCGAGACCACTTCGGCTTCCTCTGACTCGACCTCCAGCTCTGCGTCTTCTTCTCCTTCTTCTTCGCAGTCTACTGGTGGTGCTCCTGCTCCTACCGGGGGTGTTGCCATGGGTGTTGCTGGTGCAGCTGGCATTTTGGCTCTGGCTCTTGCCCTCTAGAGCATTGTCGAATAATTCATTTGACTGTTTGGCAGTTTATAATGAGCCAACTCCCCGTGAAAAAGAACTCTGTCTTTATAAAAACTCTTTCATTGATATGTACCTACTTAATTTCATAAAAGAGACATGGGATAAATTATAACCTACATACCCTCTAAGTATTGCGCGATGTAAACTGGCTGTATTGCTTGTCTATCATTCAAACGTCACGCATCTATCCTGACTCACTATCTTCATTCGATTCCAAGTGCCTCTGGGATTCCGAAAGCATAAGAAATATGTGGTAGATCGCTCGTATGGCTTGCTCGATTGTGGACTGTGGATAAGTGAGAGGTTAACACTTCAAATCCAATAAAAATGTAAAGCTGTGGAGTCAACCGAAAGGGATCTTAGCTGCGAATGGTCCCAAAATATCTAGAAACATATATCAAGTCGAATATGAAGATCAAACGTTGAAAGAAAAAGAGAGGTTCAATACTGTTGAAATAAAGCTGACTGGTACGAAGGGGCATAGCTCTCATTTTTGACCTAGCCTGAAAGTTTAGGTCAAATTCTGCAACCTGCCGCCAGAATTTCTGCTACGGGTTATGTAGTGAAAGGCATATACTTTTGATAATGAAACAATTGTGAAGTAAAAGCGAAGTAAAGATAAGAGAAAAGTGAGAGAAAAGTGAGAGATCCTTCGCTAGGCTAATTTTGCCTCGGAATAGATTGATGATTTACAATATATCGTATGAAGAGGTGTAAAAGGGGTGGTCTATATTTAGGCCAAACTCGGGCATTAGGGCATCAAATGGGTGTAACTATATGATGAGTGCTATGCCCCTTCGTGGACTGGTGTCGATCGGGGGCAAACAATTATGTCAGCACTTATCTGAACCCGGGGCTTATCAGTGACGTCGTGTTGTCCAAACACAGCTCAAGTCAAGATCAAATTCACATCCAACGCCCCTTGAACAAAGAAAATATGTCTGATCCAATTCCATCCGCAACTGCTGACCCAGAAGCCATCGAGAAAAACCTCCCTTCAAACGCCGAAGACCGCAAAGCCGCCGCCGCTCTCTCCTCCCTCAACCCAAATGAAATCGCAACGGAAGATGCCTCCGCTAGAGCACCGCTTTCTGCAAACCAAGAGGCACTGGGGAAGGCTATGAGTCGGCTCGAGATAGCTTCTGGACAAGATTTGGGCAACAAAAAAGCGGCTGAGGGACTGAAGACTGATGGGGTGGTGAAAAAGAAGATAGTTAAGGTTGCTCCAGCTGATGTTGCACTGTTGGTATGTTTGCCAGGTTATGGCTCTGGCGCTCCTCTTTGGGCAGCTTTATTAATATGAATCCAGGTTGACCAGCTGGATTTGAATAAAATCAAGGCTACGGAGTTGCTCAAAGCCCATGATGGGGATGCCATCAAGGCGATGAAGGCATTCATTGCCCCGTCTATTCGGGCTTGATCACACAGTCTATTTACTGCTAGTTGTCCATAGTTTGTTTAATTGAGTCCTAACAAAACAGATATGTATAAAACTTCATTTCTACACATTAAGACTCGCTCCTTACGCTAGGTCTGGGTTATCACGTTTAAGGATTGTAAACAATGACGTTTAGCAACATGTCAAAGAAGATCAGATCACTCTTCATCCTCTGTCTCGTCTTTCTTACGTTCGATTCCCTTACCCTCGGAAATACTCCATAGCATCACCCAACCAAACAAAGACTCAACAGCCAGTGCCCACCAGACAGCCCCAATCATATTATTCTCAAGACCCAATCCCAGTCCCCAGCCGCCCAGGAAAGGGCCCAGGGTCCGAGCCCCACTAGAGATACTCTGTGCCACTCCATGGACTGTGCCTAGGACAGATGGATCCGTGACACAGTTGTTCACCAGGATGATAGCAGCGGGCAGGATGAATGTCCGCGAGATGACCTGCAAACTAACGACAAACGTGAAGGATGGCCAAACAATCCATGGTATGCGCGGAAGAATCACAAGGAAGGGCATCAATACATATGCAATAGGCGAAAAGGGAAGGAACGTTCGGAATGACGTGAGCGTGCCAAGCTTTGTCTGTATTCGCGGATAGAGGAAGATCTGGAGTGGCAGGCCAATGAAGCCAATGATAGCAGTAGCAAGCCCAACTCGGGATGATGGAAGACCTAGTCCACCGCCGAAATGGAAAAAGCCTTGCTGAGAGTTCTCTGGAGCACGGGGGGCGGGCAGGAATACAAATGTCATAGAGTTGAAAGCGCTTGTGTGGAAGGCGAGTAGGAAATGAGCCACCAAAGTCAAAACGATGTTGCGCGTCCAGATCTGGCGGAACCCTATTTTTTTATGTAGCCGGGGGTGCACGCGAGAGCGGGCTGGACTTGATGGCGTAGACCAAGTACCGACGCTGCCGTCTGTGTAAATAGAGTCATCGTCTCTCAAGCGTGTCAGTGGACGATAATGCCGGGGTCGTCGAGCCCAAGCTCTTGTGAGCCGCTTGCCCAGTTTACGACCCCAGTCCCTTCTATAACGTGCAGTTTCATGAGTCTAAACGGTTTCATTAGTAGTGACGGTATGACTTCGGACAGAAATGACCTCACCTCATCGAGACCAAGAAACACTGCGAGGAATGATGCGAATATGAAGACGGCGCTCAAAAGATTCGGCAATGCATAGGGCCAACGCTGCATCCACCAGACACCATCTTTACCTCCAAGGGTAGATCCTGGGCCAAAGAATTGCGGAAAGCTGTTGATAGGATCTGCTAAAGAGCCTCCCAAGATGGGACCTATGATTACACCGATATTGAAGCACATGGGTAGGAGCAGAAAGGCGCGGGATTGATATCTATATGGTTAGCCTAAGGCAAGTTGACGCATTGTGTGAACAGGTCGGCTTACTTCTTCTCAGCAATGATCTCTGCGATGAGCGTCCGCATCACTCCCACATTGCTGTTCAATATGCCACCCAGTGTCCGAAAGACCATGGCCGTCGCAAAGGATCGAGAGAAGCCAAATCCTACGCAAGACAGACAAGTGCCCATCAATCCGATCAGCAGCACTCTCTTCCGCCCCATCCATTCAGCATCAGCTAGATGACCCCACCACATAGCGGTGATAAATTGCGCGGCTGTAAAGCTACCTTGGAGGATACCCGCCTGTGCGGAGATTGTCGAGTCTGGTAAAGATGGATCGAACGATTTGAGCTGATGAAACATGTATGCCTGCAGAGAGGTCTGCGTCAACGGCTCTGAAAGTCGCGCTAAAGTCAAGATCGCTAACTGGCCCCTCTTCGGTAGCGAGCTCCAAGTCACTGGTTTCTCTTCGTCCTCGGCCGACCCGAGCACGCCGTCATAATCATGATCGCCATCACCTTCATCGGTGGAACGCAATCGTCGGTGATTGGTTATCAACGGCGCGGACTCCAATCTCCTCGTCGCCTGGGAGTCACTTTCAAAAATTGCGGTGTCATCGCTCTCGAGATCCGTGTCGCTTTCAGTGCTCGATAAGTCTGCATGATATCCGATGAATTCAGAAGCACCTTGGGAGGCAAGATCAAGATGAGCATCTCGATCCTGGCGGTCTTGGCCAGGATTCTGAGTTTGCGGAGAAGGCCCCATCAACGGAGCCGGCTCGGGAAGCCACGCGACCTCGGCTGGGGTATATACCGTGTATGACACTGCCGTACGTGATCTTGCCTTGGCACAGCTTTATATTCGCACTATAGCAGTGACTCTTGTTATCCAGAGAGAAAGAAAGAGAAAGTAGGAGTGGAAAATGAGCTATGACACCATTTCACCCCACATTTGCGTGGGGTCGATACGATAGAGATGTTGCCGAGTTAACCGCAAGGCCAAAAACATGTTGATTATACTTAGATCGTCTGTACACTTGACGGTCTTTCTTTTTTTCCGCCTTCAAGCTATAGAACCCAGCAGAAAATATCTGAAAGATGTCTAGAAAGAATATGTGAGCAGACTACCAAAAGACTACTAAAAAGACCAACCGGCCCTTACTTTTTTTTACAAAAATCACAGGCCCTCCTTATAGAGAGGGCTGCCACCCATATGACAGTGCACTTTCTACTAGGCAGACTATACAAAGGGTACATATGTAAATGTTTATTTTTCTTGGTCATATTATATTAGGACCTTTCATTTCAAGTAAATAGCACTAATATTCTAATATCGTCCTAATGCTTTCATGAAACCTTAAGGGCAAGTCTTAGGGACGCCTTTATAACTATATACCTTACGTTATGTGGTCATATTGTGGAGCTTATCATTTTATATTAACAAGCCTAACTTACCCTGGAGAATTGCGGCACTCTGACCTTATAGGATCAACGGGATTGTTACTAGGATGGTATTAAGCTTACCTTCAAGCTTCGGAAGCAAGATGTATGCAAACAAGACAAATATATTTGGGGTGTGTTAGACCAGCTTATTCCCCGCCCCTGTATATGTAGGCCCCAGCGCTCTTGGGCTGAAACAAAAAGTCGCTCTTTTTCATGACCTTCCCGCAATGAACAGACATCGATGCAGTGAAAATCTAGTCTCAAGTGTCAAAAGCACCTTCGAACTCCCTTCATCCAAACAGCGCCAAATACACTGACTGAGCACCATGTCGCGTATGATATCCAAGATACAACATACCTTTAGTGAAAGACTTTCCGCCAGTGAATCCGCAGCACAATGGAGGACACCTTCCGACATTTTCTCCGTCCTCCTTATTCTCGGAGGCGACATTGTTAGCCGCGCGCTTGCGCAGTTGGCAGGATCGCGTTTCACTCCAGTCGCGTTCTCTTTCGGTACGAGATTTTTGAGCCTCGTCTGTTATGCTTTCGAATATCTAACGTCTTTCTTTAATAATATATTAGGTTGGGTAGCTTTCGCAGTTACCGCCGTTGTCGCCGTTGTGGGAGAGAAAAAGTTAATGCCGCCCGCTGACTTCCCCTGCAAGGTGATCAATGGCGAAACCGGTTATATCCGCGATAATCGTAGCTGGATCATTGGTCGTATTGTACGAGATTTTGAGAACTGGATGGACAAGCAACCGCGAGTGCACGCCAAACAAAGTTTAACGCCAGATTCGAATCCAAACACCGTCCAAAAGTGTGTTCGGGAAATCACCGACGCAAGGTGGAAGGCGCTTAAAGAAAGTGCTAAGGCAGAAGGACAACCAGAACCAGAGCGACCACATAAAGCAGGTCTCTGCGTGTCTGTCTACAGGGCCCAAAGGGCTATCAAGAGCTACCCAGGATACGATGCCCCATACATAACCGGAATCCTTACCACTGTTGTCCAACTTGGAGTTGCAGCTATTCCATTTGGCCTTTATGGTAATTGGGGCATTTTTTTGGTTACAGCTGCTGGTGTTATTCTGTCCTTTTCCACGGGAGCTCTGTCTCAGTGGTCCAAGGAGAAGTGGGCTTGCCGAAGCAATGCAAAGAAGACATTTGTGTTAACGTCAGGGAATGGGAGCCAGCATGCTATTGTCATTCAAAGTAATGGTATGGGGTTAGATCTCGAGGATCTTGCCGCCAATGACCCGGGAATGATTACCTCGTGCAAAACCAGATTGGCGATCACCAGTCTAGCTGCATTGTGGATTGTTCTACTTATAACTGCGGCGGGATTCCAACAAGATACCGGGTACCTTCTTGCAGTTGGAGCGTTAGGGATCCTCCAGAATGTGTATGCCGCTGGTGCAAGTCGCTCACCAATGGCTTTTGGTGTTCCTCTGGAGTTTGTGGAGGTAATAGGTGAGTTAAAGGTCATGGACGCTCTGTTTAGAGTTGAGAACCTTTACCCTTGCCTGGGTAAAAGTTTGTTGCCTATTTTCTTTCCGGGTGAATTGAGTGAGCAGGAGCAAGCAAAATGGGAAGGTTTGGATGATATTGCGAAGCTAAAACGAAAGACGGAGAAAAAGAAGGGGCTGTGAATTACTAAAAGGCTTCTGGATCTAGGTCAGGGCCTAGGAATTAGTAAGAATATGTCAACGACGCCTGTTTCAATATGCCGTTTAACTACATCTATTAAAACAATGATTTTTTTTTATCACAGTGTAGCAAACTATATCTCATACAGAGATAACAAGAAGCCAGCTGTATTGTCAAGCATGTGTAGCAAGGGCCTTGAAGTGGTCACTTGAAGTGAACGTATGTCTGCCCGCTGTGCATCGCGCGCATAACCCTTCCAGATAGCATACAATATGAGCAAGGCAACGATCGGCATACACTTACTAAACTTCTATTGCCTGCTTGCCTGCCCTTATATATAGTAAGTGTGCCTATATCGAATATCTATAGTAGTTTGGGGGATACTCTTACCGATGAAAGAATATGCTCTCGCATCTCACGGAATATAAATAGTTAATATCTTACAAGAGTAGACGTCAACGTATGTAGCTTGTTGTATATCTACTGATATTTTCAGATGTATATGTTATTTTGTCCCTCTTCTCGGTTTGACAGCGGAAAGACAGTGGCACTTGTGAAACCGACTTCTCCATGAGTTGCCGCGAAGACGAGTCTGGTGAATTTCACTTGCGCTAATTACTGTTTAAAATTAAGCACCGATAGTCGAGTGGTAAGACACTACTTTCCCATACTGAGGTGTCAAGTAGCAGCCCGGGTTCGAACCCCGGTCGGTGCATTTATATCCGTTTTTTTTTTCTTTTATAGTATCACTTTTCAAGTGGCAGTGTACTATCTATCGCATACGTCGTGAATGCCTGTTATAGAGACTTTCTATATTTGGTTTGACTTGAATTATTATTATACATAAGATTAAGATGAAAGAAGACATACAAACATGAATCGAGTGGACAAACACAGGTCATTGCAAAAGACGTATCGCCTTCGTGGGGTAATTGTGCGGAGACTAAAGTAGTCATATTGGCGACTGAATCCTTCAAGATGTCCTCATACACCAGATCCATGAACTTCGGATCATAAATGTCCACTTTTATGCCCGCTATGAATGTAGTTGAATTCGGACTCGGCTTGACTGCCAGCTGGAACTATGTAAGCTCCACGGTAGGAGGAACTTAGAAGATTCTCTGAACGGCCTTTCCCCGCCATTTAGCTATAAACTAGAGAGGGATGAAATGTCGACTAGAAGGAATATCTGAGAAGACTGTTGAAAGGACTGCTAAAAACCGCTATCAAAGATTCCTCAAAATCACCAAAGCGTTCGTAAACTATACAAGCTAAACAGCAATTACAAACAGTTATGAACATTTTGATTTCAACAAGGCAGGCGTGCATGCTGCCTTTGGTCCAATTGAACATCACGTTCTTCCTCAAAAGAGTTTGGTGACTCTTGGGTTATGGAAGTCTCAGTTCCAATATCCTCCTTTTTGGTCCAGACCTCAAGGGGGACAGCTTCGACACGACGCATATCGTTGATGAACTCTGTATTGGACCTGTTGATGGGCTCAGTACTCGAGCGCTTGGCTCCTCTGTACTTCCCAGGCGTTGTGTTTCTGTTTCCTGGGCGCTTCCACAAGCGAGGGAATGTGAATGAAGGACGGGATTGCGATTTGTTGGAGTAGTCGTTGCTCTGGTTGTCAGAGTTTCCAGGTTGCTGGCCTCGGTTGCTGTTGTATTGGAATGCCTTAACGCCAAACAACTTGCGCAGGAGTGGCCACCAACACATGAGGTTGGCGACATAGATTGCTGTGCTGGCTTCACGGATGTACCAGATTTGGTAGGTGGTTGTGAGCGGGGAGGCGAAGTTGAAATATTTGTTTAGGATAGCCGCAATGATAGTGAACAAGCCCAGACTCATGACACCGATAAGGACGACCTTTCGACGCATTTTGAGTTGGGCTTTGATAAGGAGGGGAATTGGGACGGCGAACATGGCGGCATCAGACGAAATATTGAAGACGGCTTGGGTTATTGAGTAGTGTTGGTATGTCGCGCACTGCATGTTATCCACGGGCATGGCCCAGTATTGCGAGAACGGTCGACAGTAGACTGCATAATAGGTGACCATTATGACGACGAATCCGACGGCAACGTAAACGGAAAGGATCTTGATATAGAGGTTCGATTTCAGATTCTGCGTGATTCGCCAATAAAGCATCAACATGCATGTTTTGACGCCCCAGGTTGAGACCAGCATGCATTGCTCCAGCCCAATGACAATTTTGCTTCCATAGACCCGATCGCTGACTTGCTTTGGGTCTGCTAGCACCTTGTCGTAGTCTTTCGGGTCCATGAGGTTCGTTGCGTAGCGGGCAGATATTTGTATCAGTACTAGCATTGTGGTATATATGGCCTTTTGGGAGCCGTTGGGTTAGTAGAACGAAGTGACCTGATTGTCAATGGTAACACTTACGAAGGTTGCCGTCATCACATAGTCGTCCACTAGAGAGCTACTAGTTAGCAGAATCGAAAAAGTAGACCCTAGAAGTCTTACGAAACAACCGTTTGGCTCCATGTCCATTGCCAATTACACGAGCCAGGCTGTGTTGCAGTTAGCATTACTCTAATTCAAACTTGCTTCTCAAACTTACATTCTCCCCACATAAATAACAAGTCCTATCGCCCAGAAGACCATGGCTTCTGTAAAGAGCTGGTGTGGGGTGGGCGACTCGTTCCCCATCTTGATGGATAGAGCGATCTTCGCCCTGAGCCGAACTTCAAAATGCCAAGAGGCTATAGCACGAGTCTGTCATATATAAGAGATGGCAATTTATCCAAGCGATTTGATGAGCATCAGTGACAAGTTTGAATTCGTGCCATGGCTTTTTGACCGGTAGCTCAGGTTAATCTATGAAGGATGTATTCGGAACAGGCTACTGCGCCGAGGAGAACGATTCGGTGAAAGTGCCTAAGCTAAGTCCTGGGATGAACTTTAAAGCTGCCAACCGAGGGCAGGGCTGTCGCAGCATGCGTCTTGGTCCGTGAGATGTCAGTAGTGGGGTAGAGTTGACTGACAAGCAAGGAAGAATGGGGCGCAAATGCAAGGGATTGAATCCAATCGATGGCAGTCAGGTTTGGAATGTACAATGTAGCCACGGAGTAGGGAATCAACATTGAAGCTTTTACGCATCACACTCTACTGTGCTTGTATGTTGTAGTCCTTCTGCTGGTCAGGCCAAGAGGCTGATAATAGCTACTGATGACCGGACGCGTCTTCCGATAAATGCCCAATATTGTGCAAACTGCGCCGCAGCTGTGCGCGATGTCTGCAATAGGATACGTTTGGCGAGATTGGTGTAACATAACTTTCACATCCTTTCGTCATTCAACTTGTATTCTTATTTTGCGGCACAAAATCCCCCGTATGCACGTTGCCGATAACTTTGTCTCGAGTATAAACAAACTCTTGACAGGTCATATTCCATAGTGGATACATAGTAGATGGGTTGATGTTATTGGGGGGTTCGGAACGTTGATCTACATGGCGATCCAAGCGATATTCAATAGTTCGTCGCACAGTGATCCATAAAAATAAACTTGCGCGGTATGCGAGCTAAAGAAAGGGTTAATATTCAAATGGTGGGCCAATCGTGGCAGAAGATCATGTCTAATATGAATGTTTAACCTTCTGCGTTTCATCCCTAGGGAACTTTGTTTCCTAAATAGTATGGTGTTCACAATGCTAAGTTTTGCAGGTAATTTGGTCATTTCTCGGAAGCCGAAAACCCGCTAGTGTATAGATGCACGCTTATACAGAGTGTCTTAACTCTGCTTAGCTATGCTCGTTATATGAATGCGACGACCTAATGCTACCCAGGATTCCTAGATAGGGGACGGCAGCGTTAGCCTTTACTACTATTAAACCGGCCCATTTGCCCAGCACTTAGGGGTGGAGTAACAGCTCTCCAGATTGAGTAGCCAATGGGAGGGTTTTATAGTCGAGAACGGCGACCCGGCGTTTTAAGATATCATTATAGAGAAGAGGTCAGTCCAAAGGTTTCTGTGTGTGTAGATATCCGATCTATCCTAATTAATAGAAATTAGTTCATAGCCGCTATATGAAGGTGGCAGAAGGACTGATGACTGCACATATAGAAACAGGATTGTACTATGGAGTATTCCGTACTCCTTACTCGGGGAGGAGAAACTGCAGAAACGTCATTGCAACTTTGGCGTGTGATAGACTCCACTTGCTGATAGAACTAATGCAATGATACGGATACAGTTGCTTAATCTGGGTCCAGTTGAAACTGCCTAGCCACTGGAAAAGCCGCAAAGGCTTACCTAGGTCCCCGGAGCCGTATTGAATACGATAAATCTAACGGCTGTGCCCTTCCTTATCCTGAATGAATATGTAATGGTTTGATAATGCAAATACATAAATTTTAGCCAATCGCGAGCTTGTCAATATAAGAATTGTTGGAGATTTCGAGACATCAAGCTACCTGGGACAAGGTAGGACATACGTACATGCGCCATATCCATAGCATCCACTCTTCATAGTCAAGAACATCCACAACCACATGAGCGATGAGTAAGAGCCGCATCATTGAACGAACGACTTTAAATACCACAGATATTCTCTTCAAGGCCTTCAACACGCCTTGCCTGCTGGTGGGGCATCCTATACCCTCCATCGGTCTTTAATAGCGTGTTTGAACGCCCCTCAACTTGGTAATTCATTTTCTTCGCTAGCCAACAGGTTCTCTTCGACATCGACATTTAGCGAATAAAGTAATTATTCGAGCGAAGTCGGTCGTTAATGGGTCGCGTCAAATGCCAGAACATCAGCTATGGGTTCTTAAAGCAGTTTGCCAGTAAGCCTTCATACTGCAACACCGCAGTATGCATATTGTTGAACTACTTTGTGTCCTGATAGTAATGATCAGTCGATGGCGTTGGATATATTCAATATTATTCCCCTGCTACTCAACTCTCCCGGCGGAATTAAAATTGACATATTTAGTGTATTTCCAAAAGACTTAAAAGGCAATTTTGCACCAGTCGAAAAATGTGTTCCTACAAGAGAAGGAATAAGGATAACTGTTGTTCATTCAAGCAGCGTAGCACTACTCTTACTCCGCCTTCCAATATATATAATACAAATGATCAATCATACAAAGCCATGTGGGCGCCCCATCAAGGGGGAAGGGGATCGCGATCGTATGCAGGGCGCAGACCAATTGAATGTTGCGCAGACCCTTGACAACGCTGGAATGTAGAATATATTCAGCAGGCCAACAACTGAAACTTGTGAAATCTCCAAACTAGAATCTTGACACAAGATTGCATGGGTTACCCGGTTGAATGAAGTTCGCCTCAAGCTGGGTACGCCGTACTCCTTACGTTGTATGTGGTTAAGCCCATCGGATCGACGCCTCAAATGCCGCATTCGCCACGAACCCCCCTTGCTTAGCCTGTGATGTATCAATTCAATTTTGATTTGGGAAGGTCATAAGAGAAAGAATTTGTACAAGTCCAATTAAAAGCAGGATTGAAATACATATGGAGTTCTCCATAGATGCACACTATCACTATTAATCTTATTCTATTCTGTAACAAAACATTGTGATACTATTGCCAATAGCACGCCTAGCTCCATATTTAATCTAGAGTAAGACAGGAAACATGTGCATTCCTTCGGAGAATATCATAAACTAGTCATCCTTGCATGAATGCTTGGACATTGTGGAATACATGTGGCAGCCATGAGGGCATTGGCCCTCACATCTTACATTCCTGTTACGACACGCCCGATTATTCCTGTGCGCCCTGTACGTTCTGTCAAACTTAGTGGATATGGTGTACTCCGTGCCTCCATTCCTTTTTCCTCGTCTTGTTACTGTCATGCATGAAATCCTTTTTCTGAATATTCTCTCTAACACCGCATGACGCACGGCAAAATGATGACATTCTCAAGGCCAGCCTCCCAGGACACCGAAAAGTCCCCCAAAGCCCATACTGGAATCGACGAGGTACGGCTCGAATCTACACTTGGGCATAAGCAAGAGCTGGCACGGAACTTTGGACTGTGGAGTTTGACCAGCTTGGGAATTGTCATTGCAAAGTAAGGCATCCATAAATCGGAGATTGTACCGATCAAACTTCGATCGACTAACGGGGCCAAGCTCTTGGGCTTCAACAGGGGGTACAATCGTCGCGGCGCTCCAGAATGGCGGTCCGATGGCTGTTCTATACGGATTGATTCTAGTCAGCGTCTTTTACACGACCATCTCAGCTTCCCTTGCCGAACTCGCCTCCTCCATGCCTTCTGCTGGCGGAGTATACTATTGGTCATCAGTCTTAAGCCGGAGTCGAGGCCGCACAGCAGGGTTCTTCACTGGGTATCTGAACGCTTGCGCGTGGTTGCTATCGGCGTCATCGATGAGCTCCATGTTGGGGAACGAGGGGGTGGCCATGTATCTTCTCAAATACCCGACTGTGAAGTGGCAAGCCTGGCAAGTATTTATCGTGTTCCAGATTGTCAATTGGACATGTTGTGCCATTGTGTGTTTAGGAAATCGGTTTATTCCTCTCCTCAACCGCATTGCCCTCACTCTTTCGATGTGTGGCCTCGTTACAACTGTGGTGGTTCTCACGGTAATGCCGAAAAAACATGCCAGCAGCACCCAGGTATGGACCGAGTACCACAATAACACAGGCGGATGGTCAGACGGAGTCTGCTTCATGACTGGTCTGTTGAATGCTGCATTTGCAGTTGGAGTCCCCGACTGTATTAGCCATTTATCAGAAGAGGGTAGGTCAGAAATAGGAGAAAGGGAAACCACCAACTAACATGTTTCAGTCCCTAAACCCGAGATCAAGGTCCCGCAAGGAATAATGTTACAAATGCTCACAGCGTTCGTCACATCATTTGTGTACCTGATCGCCCTCTTCTACTCCATTCAAGACCTAGACGCCGTCTTTACAAGCAACATCGGCTTTTTCCCGACCGCCGAGATCTATCGACAAGCGACAGGCTCTAATGCAGGAGCCATCGGTCTGATTGCAGTGCTATTTCTCGCGACCTTCCCGACTCTAATTGGGACATTCGTGACAGGCGGTCGAATGTGGTGGAGTCTAGCACGCGATAACGCAACACCCTATTCAAAGTATTTCGGCCAAGTGCACCCGACACTAAAGTGCCCCGTGCGAGCCACAGTTGCTATGAGCGCGCTCGTCACTTGCCTAGGGTGTATATATATCGGCAGCACGACAGCATTCCAAGCGCTGATCTCGTCGTTTATTGTATTAAGCTCACTGTCCTACTTCGGAGCCATCTTTCCGCATGTTTTGTCTGGTCGTGGAAACATGGTTCCCGGGCCATTTTATATGGGGCAGAGACTTGGGATGGCGGTTAATATTCTGTCTTTGCTGTATATTTCTGTTACTGTTGTTTTCTTCTGTTTCCCCTTGGTGTTGCCGGCCACGGTCCAAAATATGAACTATACCAGTGTGATCGTCGTCGGCTTGATGGTTCTCACTACCTTCTGGTGGATGTTCCGTGGCAGACGTCAATACTGTGGCCCGCATTATAGCTTCGAGGCTGCTGAGCGGTTGGCTGCTTTCCAGGAGGGCAAGGAGGGTCGTCGATCTTTTATTGATCTTGGGGATGTTTCGCCTGTTGGCACTGAGCAGGGGAATGTTTCATGATAAACGAGAAATGGACACCAAAAACAA